CTCATTTACCATGTTGTGATTGTCCAATTATCTAGACTGTTTGATAATCTGACAGTCCCTCCAATGATGAAGGCACTATGGATGGGACCTGTCTACAAGCAATAATCACCTTGCTACAGATGAATATTCCTAGGCCACACACAAACCTACTGAAACAAAATCTGCATTTTAACAGGATTTCCAGGAGATCCACAGGCAATAAAGTTTGAAAAGTACTGTCTAGGTCTCTTCCCACTGTGGTCTTTGGTTTTGTTTTTCTTTTGCTTCTCCTCTGATCATTGCTTTGTAAGATTTCTCATCAAATTTCAGCTTAAAGCTAGAGGTGAGGTGTGATTCTGGAATGTGAGCTATAGTTAACACAAGGAGGACAATTTGGGGTTCGCCCCTTAATGGAATCTAGAACTTAGAATCATTAAAATCATGTCTGATGAGCTCAGACGACAGGATACTAAACAGAGCATCAACATTTATAGATAAATTGAAACTTTCATAAACATATCTGAAGTGTCACCTGTGCTGGAAGGTAATGGCATAAATATGATTTTTATTTTTAAAGCTGGAGCTATCTACAATGATTGATGTTTATAACTGTAGGGCCTACAATGCTCCATGGGACAACTGTATTTCTCATACATGTCCATGTCCACCATAAGCTGTAAACACTTAGCTTTGTCCTAAAGGAAATCCTTGGGTGGTATCAGGGGAATTTTTGTCCTTCATTCCGCCGCCTTCTGGCAAAAACATACACCTGTGTAACTGGTTGACTGTTCTGTTCAGAGACATTAATATAAACTACAATTTCTTGAGTTTGGGAAGTGAAGTCTTCAAAATGAATCAGTGTGCAAAGAATTGCTGTCTGCGTTACTGTCATTTCTGTGTTGTTGTAGATTTTTCTACTCTAGAAAGCCTACAGTATTGAAAGGATATCCACAATTTCTCGTAAGTTATGGGTAAGAGAGAAATGATTTGTATAATAGTAGCTAATCTTTGTACAAAAATTTAAAATACTGCTTAATTTATAATACTTTTAGATTGGGTTCAAAAGATGTCCAAATAGCCAGGTAGAGAAGAAAAAATCAGTGAATTAATTGTGTATTTTTGTGACTAAAAGTTAGGTATGTAAAATAGCTATAAGAATTGTTTCCTTTAAATTGTTTTATTATTTTTTAACTATAAAGATTTTATAGGGTAAATTTTGGTGAGCCAGAAAGTTAAATAATTTAAAATTAGGTTTAATGTTTCAGGTCATATGTTTCTTATATAAGAAATTATTTTAATGATTCTGACAAAAAGAATCACTCTGATTAATTAAATGCTGATTAAAAATTTTAAGGTAAATTACTTAAATATTAATTCCTCTATTCCTTCACCTACTTATGAGAATAATTTTAATATATATAGTATAGAAATATATATATTCAAATACAAATGAAAAAATATATATCATATATATGTATGCTATGAAATATAGATAATATATGTAAAATGTTTTTACATATGAAAACATATGTAAAACATGTTTTCATATGAAAAATATATGTAAATCATATATATATGTATGTTAGAAAATATATAGACAAAGTTTATCCATTGTGTTTTCTAGTATTTATGAATTAATAAGTACTTGTGGGATGATTCAATGGTAGAAAATCTGCCTGCAATGCAGGAGACACGGGTTCAAACCCTGGGTCAGGAAGATCCCCTGGAGTAGAAAATGGCAACCCGCTCCAGTCCTTTTGCCTGGAGAATCCCATGGACAGAGGAGCCTGGTGGGCTGCAGTCCACGGGGCTGCAGAGTTAGACATGACTGTGAGGCTGAGCACACATGCAAAGTACCCACCCACATATTAAATTTGATAATTCTCAGTTACTTATTGATTAGGATTGAATAAGGAAGGAAATTTCATATAAAAATCTACTTAACTGAAATTTTTGATGATCATTATATTGCCTGTATTCAAGATCCAGTTTTTTGACTGTTTTTGATTCCCTCTCAAAACTAAATATCCCACAATTGGTAGAGAGTAAAGTGCTCTCAAGTTAAATGAGCAGGATTTCTAGATAAGGTCAGTTCTAAACACCCTAATAACAAAGAGAAAGCAATTTTGAATATGGAATTTTCTGACAGTATCAATATATTTATGATCAATACAAAATTTATAAAATAAAACTTAAAATTGAATTCTCTTGTTCATACCCAAAGTCTATAGGAAAATAAACTTTGAACAAATAATTTTTTTCAGAACAGATAACCTCAGGGCACACCAGTTAAAACACTCACTCCTGAGTCTCTGAGCCTTTCTCTTTACAGCTTCCCCCCGTTATCCGACAGTTGAACATTTCTATGAAAACTTTTAAAAGCTGAAATGGCATAAACAGAAGAAGCTATTACCTTAGAACCCATCTTCCTAACAGATGGACAAAATAAATCAAGATACAGTACAGATGTTCACAAACGCAATTCAGAGCAATGATGACTTGATGTTGAAAAGATAACTATAGTTCCCTGAGGAAGGAGCTTGGTGGCGTCTCTCTGGCTGCTGGGGGTATGTGTTGTCTCTATAACTGATTGTTGCAAAAGAAATGCTGAGCACTGCTTTTGCCTTTTTATTGGTAATAGCAAAATTCCTCTTCAGATCTCACTCGGTTATTAATACAGTTTTTTCACACAAGAGAAGTGGCAGTAAAGCCAACTTTGGAATAGGGGACATACCTGTATTTCCTCTTTGGTATTTCTTGGATACTGCCTCTCGCAAATACTTCCTTGTCAGCTCTTCGGGTTGTCTTTCCTATATGTATCCATCTACGTCTCTGATATTTTCCAACTGCTACCACCTCTCTGCTGTTTTCCTTTCATCAATATATACTGCCTTCCCACTTTCCCTGTTTCCTTTCTCCTCTCAACTCCTTCCTCTCCCATTTTTTGAAAACTTTCATCAAAACATTCTAGAGAAAAAAGAAAACCCTGTAAGTGTCTAGGAGAAGTAGAGAAATGCCAATGGTTCTCTCCCTTTCTTGGGGTACTCCATACTCTTCCACCCACTCGTTTCTCATTCACTTCTTAACTATGGTCTGGCCTCAACTCAATCACAGAATGCAAACTGCTCTCACTAAAGCCACTAAAAATCCCTTAATTTTCACACTCAGTGAAACCTGATCATCCTTTGTCCTATCAGACCATTTATTTTGGCATTTGACATGTCCTTCTGTGCTTCTTGTAGTTCTTATTGAGTATCTTTTCTCTCTATAAGTTCACAGCACTCAGCGTTCCAGTTTCCTTCCTGCTTTTCGGCTTAGAATTTTTTTCTGGTCTCTCCCTAGTCCTTCTCTGTTGTGAACTAGGACTCTTGGTTACCACAGGAAAGGAGTTAATTGAATGGAATTGGCTCTAACATAGAATGAGAGAATGGAGAAATTGGGTGAAAAAACGATCTGGAACAGAGGAAGGAAGCAAAGGAGCCAATCGACGGCCAAAATCATGTCCCAACATCAGCTCAATGAGACCTGCTGTCCCTACTGTTGAATTTGGAATGCCAGCTGACACAATGCCATGGCCATGGATGCGGGATGCATTTGCTGGAGTCTTGATATCACGGTCTTTGCAACCAATATTCTCTTTTGTCTCTGTACCTTTTCTCTTTATTTCCATATTCTAAATGGAGGTTTTGTGGATTTGGTTTGCCAAATCTAGATCAAGTTCCCTCACTCTGTGTGCAACAGGAATGGAAAAGTCAGATTCTAGCTCTGTTGGTTTCTTTTTTAAAATTAATTTTTATTGGTATATAGTTGATTTACAATGTTGTGTTAGTTTCTCCTGTACAACAAAGTGAATCAGTTATACATATACATACGCATATACCTAATTCCCATATAGGTCATTATGGCCATCATCTTTTGGCTTCTTGAATGGGTGATACCTATACCGGCCACCAAGGCTATGTGGCAGAAAAAGTGGTCAGATGTTGGCTATCAAATATATGCTGTGTATCCACTGTGCAACTGCTTTAATACAACTTCCTCAAGTTTCTTTCCATGTCCTTCTTTATGCACACTCTTCAATCGATAGGTTATTAATAAATATGCCTTCAGCTACTCCCCAAATTCCTAAGACATTACTTATATGAAGGTATAGTAGACTCATATTACTAAGTACCTCTCCTCTTAATGTTCAGAGGATGCTCGCTCCACAAACTGGCCACTGTAGCTGAGACCTTGATTTCAATTTTTGATGATTATCTAGTCAGACACCACGTACCTCCTCTCTCCTTCGCTAACCCACCCTTTCATATCTAATGTCATCAGGTCCTAGTGACTGCACTTTGAATTCTTTTGCATCCATCTCTTTGTCTCTCTCATAACTACCAAAGTTATATTGCCAATGGACTAGGCACTATACATGCATTTGAATCACTTGTGGAGCATTTTTTAAAGTACAGATTGTTAGAACTCCATCTTGATCCACTGAATTAATTTCTACAGTAATATCTCACAATATATATCTGGCATAAAAAGCTCCACAAACAATTCTGATGGATAATCTGGTTAGAAATCCCCTGGACAATAGCAACATTTCCTGAAGAGTATCCCTGATCCCAGTTTCTCCTCCATGACATCTATTTTCTGCACTAAATTAAAATACTCTCCTGTGTCTCTCCTTGTCTTAAAAACTTTCAGTATGTGCATATTACCTGAGGCAAAGAGTTCAAGATCCTTCACATAGTATTCAATTCATTTTATAACCCTGCTTCTTTTAAATATCTATTTCCTTGACTGATAATCCATGTCCCAGACTCAGAATTTCCCTACCACAGTCTATCAAGTTCCCACAAATTTAGCAAATGGTTAGACTGTTTCTTTTACGTAAATATATTAATTTCAGCACATTATTTGAACTGAAATTATTATACTGATTGACATCTCTTCAGATCCCCCAAATAGTTCATTATAACAATATTTTATGAAATTAAAAGGACATTCTGGTAGAAGTATGATTACTATGCATGAGACTGTTGGTCTCATCATTTGTAGGTGGTGTTCTTCATGCCTTTATTCATATAGGTTTTTTATTTAGATTAACCTTCTGCAGTTACAACACAATACATAACTTTTACTGTGATATTATGCCACTGTTCAAAATTTCTTGTACTGACCCATTTATTAATATTCTGATGGTTTTTATTTTCTCTGGTTCAATACAGGTGTTCACCATTCTGATTGTGCTTATTTCTTATACACTAGTTCTCTTTACAATTTTAAAAAAGAAGTCTCTTCAAGGTATAAGGAAGGCCTTCTCCACCTGTGGAGCCCACCTCCTCTCTGTCTCTTTATACTATGGGCCTCTTCTCTTCACGTATATTCGTCCTGAATCCACACAATCAGATGATCACGATATGATGGACTCTCTCTTTTACACTGTCATAATCCCTTTGTTAAATCCAATTATCTATAGCCTGAGAAATAAGAAAGTCATAGACTCACTGATGAAAATGTTAAAGAGGAATATTTAGGTCTCATAATATCTGTTCTCTTTCCATTAAAACAGTCATAAAACTGCAGATCAGATTTTGTTATGTGTTGACTAGTGTTCAATTTTTTTTTAGTTATAACTGTCATTATTTTCATGACCTGTTAGTTTCTAACAAATTCCTTAAAATGTCTATCTTTTTCAAAAACACAAAGGCATTTTAATTAAGTGTTCATATCATACTAAAATAACTAAAGCAGAAAACACATGAAAACATTTTACATGCTTGTGTATGTAAAATGTTTTCATGTGTTTTCTGCTTTAGTTATTTTAGTATGATATGAACACTTAATTATATTCTTCAGTATGGTTTTACAAGTGAATTTACTAAGTATATTTTAAGCACTAAAATAGTGTTGTACCTCTGAAAATTACTTGAGCACGATGTCTTTGATAAAATATAGCTGTATAAAAATGAAAGTCAGTTGCTCAGTTGTGTCCAACTCTTTGCAACCCCAGGGAATGCAGCCTGTCAGGCTCCTCTGTCCATGGAATTCTCCAGACAAGAACACTGGAGTGGGTAGCCATTCCCTTCTTCCCTTCTCAAGGGGATCTTCCCAACCCAGGGATCGAACCCAGTTTCCCACATTGCAGGTGGATTCTCTACCATCTGAGCCACCAGGGAAGCCCAATATATACAATATAGCTGTATAGCCTGGAGACACGTATCACATTTAACTCCACAGGAGAGGTGGGTTTGTGTTTGAGTGAACAGTGGCAAATCCCAGGAATTCTGCTAGCCATCAAAAAGTCTTTTACTCCACTGAATCTCATGTCTTGTGGGGACCAATTCACCAATTTCATCAATTCCAACCTAATCAGGAACACCCTCACAGAAACACCCCCAAATAATGTTTAAGTAGATATCTGGACAGCCCATGGATTAGTTGACACATAAAATTAACAATTACAAGTTCACTTGCTGTCAACTTAGTGCCCATACGCATATCTTAAAAATTATATTCTATTTCTAAATAATGATAATAACAAGGAATAATTCCACCTAACATGATACAACTCTGCTATGTACAACCGAAAATGTATTACCTCTTCCCAAGAGTGGAGGTAAAATCTTTGAATGAAGTTTACTATTCATTTTCTTTGATATCAGGTAATACAATGTCAAATTAACAACACTTAATTATGATAATACAAAGTCAGTACATCTTATGTCTCATGATAAGGGAATAAGAATGGAAAGAAAACAAAGACAAGTGCTATACAGACACTAATGTATTCATATCAAACTAAGAAGGAAATCTCTTGGCAATTACAATCCTCATATCTATAACTGGACATGTGATTGTTGTTGGCATTTTAACTAACTTCTTTGACTACCCATTCTGTGTTCTCTTTGCCTTCAGCAAGCACCTGACTCAGGTGGTCATTGTTCCTCTCTTGGTGGAATGACCCAAATTTCTAAAGAGTCTGGGCCATTAGAACTATTGTGTGGTTTGACCTCGAAGTTTTTCATTGACCTTAACCATGGGAATAACAATGCTAAGAGATACCCTAGAGGGTGTTGTGTATTCCAGACATACTGTTTATTACTTTTTCGTGGAGGAGTCCAGTTTCCTCTTGTTACTTGCCATCAATCACCTCACCCAACATAGCAACTCACTTCTTTGTCTCATGATTCAAAGAAATGTAAAGTCAAAGGGACTGAGTGGTCATCTACTTTCAGGTCAATGGAAGAATTGTTGTCTGTCTTGGTGGAAGCAGGCTGTCCTGCTAGAAGGTTTTCCCTTCACCATTGTCCTTCCTGAATGTCACAGAGAGGAGCTGTGTGCAGCAGCTGTCCACTTTCTGATGGTGTCCACATACCATGCAGAACCATCTGTAAGTCAGGCCCCAGACTTCTCGGTCAGCTAATTATAAGGGCACAGGGCCCAGCTGCGACACAGAAGCCTTTGCGGCAGGATTGGAGGCCAGTAGCATTGGAACCCGGAGAAGGCAATGGCACCCCACTCCAGTACTCTTGCCTGGAAAATCCCATGGACGGAGGAGCTTGGTAGGCTCCAGTCCATGGGGTCGCTAAGAGTCGGGCACGACTGAGTGACTTCCCTTTCACTTTTCACTTTCATGCATTGGAGAAGGAAATGGCAACCCACTCCAGTGTTCTTGCCTGGAGAACCCCAGGGACGGGGGAGCCTGGTGGGCTGCTGTCTA